GACTTAATCTGATTAGTCGTTCAGATTAGTGGTATTCATGTAATCAGTTTTCATTTGCATTTTTATTGAGTTCTTTTACATTGCAGCCACAATCTTTCAAAGAGGAATGATATATTTTTTGGCCATTCTTTAACCTAATATTAAATACTGAGTCAAAATGACAATCACGATGATAGAAAATGAATTCAAATATTTCAGAATTTACATACCATAGCACCTACAGCTTAAGATCCACTTTGGCTCTAACAAAATTCATGAATATTTTTATATGGATTTAAAAAATATGATAATTCTTGTTTTATGTCATATTTACCAGGTGTATATTGAAACACATGTTAGTTAAATCAACAAACAAACTAATACAAGGTATAATTAAAACCTGACACATTATTACCTATTATATTGTTACATGAAAGTAGCACTACATGCAAGTTGAGATAAGGTTTCCATTAACAAATCGCCTGCTGAAAGCCTCTATGAATAGGAAAAAATGATATCAACAAGAAAGGTGTTAATGTAATAAACTATGTCATCGTCCACCTGCACGATGTTGTTCTGTTCAGACATTCCTCCCTCCTTGCCAGACGAGACCATGCAGGTCTGGTGAAATAAATTGGTTGTCACATGACCGGTAATAATCACATAACTTCAGTATTAATATAAATCATTCAAACATAAACGTTTTAAACAAAATTAAAACTATATAGTTTTATATTTCAACATTTACGCTATAAAGCTCATTATTACTAAAATCTCATTTTAAATTAAGACAATCATAATTGCCCATTAAAAATCTAGAAAACAAATTAGTTGACGGGAAAACGTGATATAGATAAATCACTATGTCCTAGAAACGGTGACAAACTTCAAAAGAAGCCCGGCTTTAAGTGGGTGATGAAGCTTCAAGCAAAGGAAACACATTTAACTGACTCAGAATGATTACGATTTTATCAGTGTTAATTTGTTATGGGTAATTTGCATAACAATTATAATGCTGAATAATTCACTTTCTTGAAAAAAAGTGTTGTGTAGAAAATAAATTAGATAAACACACGTTAATACTGCCCCAAACCACGAACTCTACAGATCCTACCCATGCTCAAATAGCCTGTCTCTGTGAAACCCAGAAATAGTCAGACATGCAAACAAATATTTGACCATGGTCGGTCTATTTGATTGAGGCAATGCGGCTTGTTTATATTTTTTGACTATTTTGTGGCTGTCTTGACATCTTAAAGTCTGCACCTGGTCATACTATAAATCATATTTTAATGATTATAGATACAACAAATGTAATTTCTGGTTTATGTGAGAATTTTTGTATATTTCTTACAAACCAACTATTCAATATCATACATGTATGTATTATTTAAAAATTAATAAAAAAAATCACTAATTCACTTCTAATATTCTATCGATAGTTTATATTTTAAATAAAATATCTGACCACCTTAAAAAAACAAATAGAAGTCAATAATTTATAGGACACTTTTCAAATTTATCCACTTTTAATAAACAACTGGAATACATGCATCATAGGTATAATGGTACTACGGGGAGCTTACAACAATGTACAACATTGATGGTATTACCATGGCAACTGGATGATAAACACGGTAGTGTATCAAGAGTTCACTAATCAAACAAAACATTTTGTTCAGTTACCTCCGTTATTTAATCATGCAATACCTATTCATTTGATTACCAGACTATGAGCACACATGACTGCCCACACAATGTGCACTGGTGCTTTAATTATTCCATCACAACCTACAGATTATTCATCCTCATTCACAATGTCCTAACAGTTTTTGTAATTCACAAGCGCCGCATTAGCACCCCTAAATGGTATCTGCTCTGGTAATCTGTATGGTAAGATGAATACATTGGAAAGATGTCTAACCAGTTGTGCTCAATCAACTGTTATATACACATTGTGTTCACACATGACTACATAGATACACAGCAGCAAAGGATTATGGGTCATTTTGTCTCTGATCAGATGAATTTTCTCCAACTTGAGTGTTCCCCTAATAACACAGAAGAACTAATCTAGTAGAGGTCCATCCAAGGTACACATACTAGTATACATGTATCAAGTATAAAAACAATTGGAGTAGCGGTTTTCAAGAAGAAGTGAATAATACAATTTTTGACCAGAAATTACACAATTATTCACTAAAAATAGAGAATTAATAAAGATATTATCATGAAATCAACAAATCTGACAGAGGTCCACCCAAGGTACCTACATCCCAAGTATCAAAGCATTTGGGCTGGTAGTTGAAAATAGAATTGTTGACGAACGACGACGAACAATCACCTATAGGATGACAGCAGAGCTAAAAATGTATTGACCCTAACCTTGTATAGACAATGGCAGACAAAAGGCTCTAATAGTAGATTATTTTTATTTAAATTTATGAAACACATTTGTTTATTTTAAATAAAAAACAAAACATCCAAAGTTTTCTGAAATGCAGAGTACCACATTGTAATGATGCTTCTTACCAGTAACTACAGTCAATTAACTTATTACTGAATTGTTAATAGCAATCAAAGCACCCTAAGACCATATTTCATAAAACAAGCAGCCTCTCGGCTGAGATAGCTCCGCTTTTTCGCAATGCACATTTCAATTAAAGAACTGAAGATCTGAGAGGGCTACCCGAGTACCTATATGTATAGTACCAAAGCAATCGACCTTGCTATTTTCAATAAGAATTCAAAAATATCACTTTTTACCAAAAACAACAAAAATATATTCATCAAAATTAAAGATATCATCACAAAAGCATGTTAAATTGAAAATATTAACATTTAGTTGTGCTGTTTACATGTGTAATTTAAATGTACATCAAATGAACCACAGAGAATATACCACAGTTACAGGTTCTTTCTCGTGTCTAGTAAACTCACATATATGTTGAGCAAGCAATTTATGTTGATCATAAGCCATGTTGTACTTACCTGCCCTTCTTTAACAGTCACTGCTGGAGGCCAAAAACCTGCCTTTGAGACGTTCACTTTAACAATAGTAGCAGTCACATCTACAAACAAATGTAAATAAACAAGTTTAGAACAAGTTTTAAAACAGTATTCACACAGTATTCACAAACATACACACATAGCATTCACAAAACATTCAAATCATTTCCAAGGTATTCATACATCATCTACCTAGCATTCCCACAGTATCACACA